GCTCAGACACTGCAGTGCTCATACAATGTGATCACAGTGCTCAGAAACTGCAGTGCTCACACTGTGATCACAGTGCTCAGACACTGCAGTGCTCAGACACTGTGATCGCAGTGCTCAGACACTGCAGTGCTCATACACTGTGATCGCAGTGCTCGGACACTGCAGTGCTCAGACACAGTGATCACAGTGCTCAGACACTGCAGTGCTCATACACTGATCGCAGTGCTCAGATACTGCAGTGCTCAGACACAGTGATCACAGTGCTCAGACACTGCAGTGCTCAGACACTGATTGCCGTGCTTAGACACTGCAGTGCTCACACATATGGTGATCACAGTGCTCAGACACTGCAGTGCTCAGACACGGTGATCACAGTGCTCAGACACTGCAGTGCTCAGACGCAATGATCAGCTGAAGCTCCGGCCAGAGATGCAAGAATGGTTAGGCTTGATACAAAACAGTAAGCATGGTCAAACACCCCTAGGATGAAAGTTTTCCTCTAAAGTCTGGAACAGCAACAAAAGGACAGCCACTGTCACCGCTGTTACTTAGTAATATAATCTTGGCAAAAGAAACTGAAGGCATCCAGCTTGAAAAGGAAGAGGCAGATGATCTCTGTTCGCAAATGATATGGCATTGTGTATTGAAAGCCCTACATTCTCCATTTTAAAAAAACTGTTAAGTGATTTTAAACAAATTCAGAAAAATCGCAGGACCCAGAAATCAGCATACAGGGACTGGAGGGACGGCTCTTTACTTAAGAGCACTGGCTGCTCTTCCAGACCTGAGTTCAAATCCCAGCACCCACATGGTGGCACACAACCATTTGTGACTCCACCTTCAGTGACAGGATCTGGACAAAACACCCACTTACTGTATTAAAATAACTATTAACAATTAAGATAACTGAGGCTTCTATTGATACTATTTTATACCTGCTGAGCATGGAGTTATACTATATTATTTTATATTAATATTAGATGTTAGAAATTAGAAGCTATAAAATCAGCTGTAGCCCCACTGCCCCAAAATATATTTTGCTACACCTTTTTCTGTCCACACAGGGGTGCAAACAGTGTGGAGGTGCAGTCCTTTGTGTGTGTCTATGTGCATGACTTTTAAAGGTTTAAAAGTCTTTTTTCACCTGAGAATATATTGAAATAGATTTTTCTGTCAGTGTATAGCTCCATTAGCTATTTCTTACACCATTTATTTAACAAGATTGACAATAGTAGAAACAAGTATATATTATTTGGTCTGAATGGACAGTGCTAAGTACATGGATTAGTTTATTTGATTCTAATCATAACCAAGGAGTGGGTACTGTTTTTCCCATTATAAAGGTCAAATTTATACCAAGAAAATGAAATAACTTTACCATTGTGACCAGCCAGCATACAGGAAGAAATGCTAACAATGGACCCATCAGTAGCAGAAAAATCTAGGTTCTAGAAATACTAAGGACAAAGTAGTCAGGAAAATCCAGCTCTTGTGGCCCTTACATTCTGTGGAATCACACAGTAAACAAGTGTAATAAGCTGAGGCTGGTATCTAGAAAGTTCTTAGCACTAACTCACTGAGGTTTGTCCGTTAAAAGTTCTCCTTGAAGACTCAAGCCAGTGGCATCTGCCTTAGGAGTCCTGCCACCCACCCCTTGGTCCTCCCCACCCTACAGATCCTTGGCGGTGTTAGAATTCTCATTGACTCGTTGGCTCCAAAAGACCGGGAATGCGCTACAGGTGTTGCACAAGACAGCAGTGACTTAGAATGACAGAATCATTTTCCAGCCATGAAAAGTTTATGAGGAGCTGGTGATGTAGCCCAGAGCTACACTATACATTGTATACATGAAAACTGACTCATTCTTCAGGACTCACTTGCAAAAATAAGTTTCCAGAAATTGAAATGTTTGACCATCCATTGTGTATATGATCCCAGAACTCAGGAGGCAGAGCCAGGCGGATCTCTGTGAGTTCGAGGCCAGCCTGGTCTACAGAATGAGATCCAGAACAGGCACCAAAACTACACAGAGAAACCCTGTGTCGGAAAAAATAAAGAAAGAAAGAAAGAAAAAAAAGTGTAGGGGCCATCAGAGACTTACAAATAAAAACTGAGTTCTTCCTATCACTGAACACTGCAGTGCTGCATGACTGAGCTGGACTCCTGATCCTAAAAACAGTCACTAACACCTGGAAGCCGAAGAAAGCGCCCAGCTCATTTGTACCCCGTTAACAGTCATGGGAGAAGGTAGTCCAGACATCTGGAACCAATCAGAATGTGGGTCAGCTCAGATAGAATGACACTTTATTTTTTGGACGTGAGAGTGGCAGCTATTAATTTCTAGATGAATCCAAGGTGCCACTTGAGAAATTTTATTACAAATATTCTTGATTTTCAAGATTATCTCTTTGAGAACAATGGTTTCCTTGTGATTGTGACGTTTCCATTCCTACTTCAATTGCAGATTACAAAACTCTTGGAAGAATTGAAAGAAGCCAAAGAAAACCACACACCAGAGATGAAACACTTCATGGGCTTAGAGAGGAAGATCAAGCAGATGGAGATGAGGCATAAGCAGAGGGAACAGGAACTCCAACAGGTGAAAAGGCAGGGGTGTGTGCAGCCAGCAGGTGAAAAGGCAGGGGTGTGTGCAGCCAGCAGGTGAAAAGCAGGGGTGTGTGCAGACAGCAGGTGAAAAGGCAGGGGTGTGTGCAGCCAGCAGGTAAAAAAAGCAGGGGTGTGTGCAGCCAGCAGGTAAAAAAAGCAGGGGTGTGTGCAGCCAGCAGGTAAAAAAAGCAGGGGTGTGTGCAGCCAGCAGGTGAAAAAGCAGGGGTGTGTGCAGCCAGCAGGTAAGAAAAGCAGGGGTGTGTGCAGCCAGCAGGTAAGAAAAGCAGGGGTGTGTACAGCCTGCAGGGGAAAAAAAGCAGGGGTGTGTGCAGCCAGCAGGTGAAAAAGCAGGGGTGTGTGCAGCCAGCAGGTGAAAAAGCAGGGGTGTGTGCAGCCTGCAGGTGAAAAGCAGGGGTGTGTGCAGCCAGCAGGTGAAAA